ATTCATGCAGGCTTCGCTTTTATTATGCGATAGAAAGGGCTGGTGATGATTATTTTCTCTAGATTGCTCATTGTGACGTCTTTTTGAATTTTCCTCAAAATCCGCCGCCTGAATATTTATTGAAGAAGGCAGTCTGGGAAACTGACATGGGCGACAGGGTTTTCGGGCAGTGCGAATTTCATTCAGTATTTTTATCTAAACTACTGTCACAGAGGGTTAACTTGCCACTGAGTAATTTTCAATTAACAGTTGAGCATAAGCGAAGCTTTTATGCCGTACATTTTGGCTTAAGTCTTGTTTTATGTTATTTTCATTAATTTTGCACACATCCGTTGGTTCCAGGCTTTGGTGGCGTTATGACGTCACCTAAAGCTGTCTTGCGATAGCTGGGATTGTCAATATCTTTGCAGTTAGTCCTGGTAAGGTTCCATTGTCTTTTTATTTAAATGTAAACAACGAGTATTGTGTTGATCCTACCATGTGTTATATTGGTATTAAGAAGATTAAGTTTATCTGAAAATTCGATCACCACAAATAATTTTTTTTCATGTGCGACTAAAGGGGTAAGTCCGTATATGCAAAATGGGTGGGAATTATTAATAGCGTAGATGGTTCAACGAACAGCAAACAAAAACTACGTGGTTTCATTTGAGTAATTCAAAATACAGTTTATCCTTATGTACCAGTAAGACATCTTAGCAGTCATATTCAATTAGGCTGCCATTTAAAAAACACAGTTTTTAAAACTTTATCATGCATGTATTACGATATAAATATTAAGGAACCTGCTATACCGGATGCTATATGCACTAACATATTTGCTGTTCTGCAACACATTTTCAACATTTTTGAAAGGCGGGAGACTTATCCAACTCAGTTTTCAAATGAAACTGTTTTCTTTCATGGCTTAGATTTCTATTCGTGTATTCGGAGGAAGAAAACTGTTATCGGCTGTAATTTTGCAGTGAGGCACACATTCCATAATTGTCCCAAGTATATTTCAAGTTATACAGTCAAGTCTGGTGGAAACAGTACCTTTTATAGCCGTATTTTATGCTACAGTCAGGTTGTAAGGCTGACACTATTGCTGCCACATCGTTGATCGGGCAGTTCAGCCCCCGACTGAGTAGACTAAAGATTTGAATTTAGAACTAGATAACCAGTGATTTCGAACACGTCAAATCCAAGGTATGAACTCATTGTCTATCGGTTTCGAGCGGACATCGTCAGGATTCTCTAAGGACAGCGCGCTACCACCAGACCTGAATGTCGCATGCAGTGCAAGTGGTTCGTTTTATGCGAAACAGCCTTTAGGCAGGTTTTTAATTGCGATGCCCGGCCACAATAGTGTCACCACAAAACTCCCTTTCTTAGACGGTGCAACAAGTTAACAGCTAAGATGATTTCATAGGACAGCAATCACAATCGCTTTCATGAACCCTCGCCTCCTACGGTTATCAGGTAAAGCCTGACTACTGTTGAGGGTCACAACCCTGTGTTACTGAAATAGTTAGAAGACATGGGAAAGTGTAAAAGAAAGGTGTAGCTAAGGTATGGTTGGAGACGAACAGAATAACATTACTTTTCATCTGATCAGCTTCAGAGTGCTAGTAGGCGCTGGAGACGTAGTAGTTACGATTGGCTGGCTTGATGGTTTTCAGTTCTGGCAAATGGAGGTCTGTTCCTCTGAGCGCCACAAATATCGCGACCTTCTCAAAAATGCACGCATAAAGAAAATGGCATAACCCCGAAAATGAACGAGGATATCCTAATAACTAGACAAACAAATTCAGCATTTAGAAATATTTTGATATAAAGGATACCCCTTCTTATTTCTCCATATTAAAAGATGATTACAAAGGAATAATGGTTCCAGGAAAGAACGTTTTTATGAATGCATTTTACAAAATACATTCGGATTAATAAGAAGATTTCATATTCAGTACATTTGTCACGTGTTCTATAACAAACAAAAAGCATCCTCAACCAAACATATTCGGCTACCCCGATAACAATATTTACGAGTCAACAGATTACAACAATAGCATATTAAAAACATGTTTACAAATGAACCAAAAACCAAGGGCATCTGCAAATTCAGGAACACGACAGTTTAATATCCTCACTCGAAGCGTCTAGAAATCAGAAAAAAGGAATCATCCGCTGCTTTAAGTCAGTAGGTCCGACTCGCACTACTTGAGAACTAATTTGTGGCATCCAGACAAGAAATACGAGGGGGACTAGGGCATCCGGTTGAGTTTTTGATTTTACAAGTCTGTCTGATTTTGGTCGTGTCCAGGAGGGCTTGACATCATTTTGGCTCGGGTTCACCAAGAGGGTCGGTTGGTTGTGGCAACCTAAACGAAAGTAAAAAATTACGATTAGAAAAAAACATTTTGTGGGAATTTGTCCACAACTTCCTGTACTTCATGTCAGTGATTTAGGCAAGGAAAATAAAAAACATTAATGAATTTTATTAACTATTCATGTTCTATGTTTCACTCGGATTTTGGCCCATATTTTTAAATTAGAAAGTCTCCATCTAAGTCGGATATTACTCTAAAGGTGCTCTGACTTGAAACGTAAGGAGGTGAGCAGCAGGCCAGCACTGCTTGTATCATTACCAGAGATGCCAGCTGTTGAATAAAATAAAATCCTGGGTTATTGCTGCATTTATGGTTCCAGTTTTAGCCAGCCAAAACTGACAATGAACTTCTCAGGAGGTTGGCATTTATCTATTTCCCTAAAAACCCACGTGCTTTTTCGCTGTTTATTGCTCATGCATGCTTTGCAAGCTACAGGGATTTCAGAAACATAGAGCACGGATGATTTTAGACACTAAATAGAATCCTAACAACTTTAAACTGACTAACTTTTGTCAAGCAGTCTGTGCGGCCTCATGGAATATTGTTCAACCTCTTTCGGCCATCTTCCAATAACCTTACAATAGATGCTTTAACCACAGGTTTGCCCCACTTTCCTGATTTATATTTTGGCCTTGATCCCTTTTAATCGTCTTACAGTATGGCGCGTGCTGCAAGTAAAAATCCGCAATTGGAAAAAGACTGTCAATTACTCGCAAAACAACATAAAGTAGAGTTATAATACCAATTATCGTGCAGCCAAATCGCAAGTATTTTCAATCATACCAGGATGCCTGCTTTTTAACGCGTTTCTTCCTGAACCCTTACAATAATAAGATTCTGTGAAAACATGCCTTCTTACTTACAAAGCATTTTTGTCATTGGTTTTGACTCTCTTTGGAAATTCAAAAATATTTTATAGAAAACAAGCTCCAAAAAGATACTTTCTTGTACTTGCAAATTATTTTACCTCAATTTTATACTTAAAAAGTGTATCTTTCGGTTTTAAAAATTTGTGATTATGAGATTTTTAGGTCTGTGAGATGTTAATTCATGATATTTCATATTTGTCCGTTTATTACTGTCTGATACATTATATAATGTCTCCCTTAAACCGTAGGTAAGAACGTACTTTTACTTAAACAGGATGTACACGCCATGCAGTTCGGAAACCATAAATTCAGGTCTAGCGGTAGGTAGGTTTTAAAATTATTCGGTAATTTATAAAAAAATTTAAAAATTGAAAGATACACTTTCTTTAAGTATAAAATTTAAAAAGGCGTAATTTGCGAATGCAAAAAAGTATATTTCGAGCATGTTTTCTATAAATATATTTTAATTTTTTAAAGAATCAAATTCAATGATAAAAATGCATGCTCATAAAGTAGGCATTTTTACAGAATCTTCCTTTTCGTAAGGGTTCAGGAAGAAGCACGTTAAAAAGCCGGCATCCTGGTATGACTGAAAATACTTACAATTAGGCTGCACGATGATCTATATACCAACCCTAATTACTGTTGGTTTACGACTGATTACCAGTCTTTTTTTAAATTGCGGAATTTTACTTGCAGCCCTCGTCATACTATACATGCCTTAGTACTGTCCCTTCAGGAACCTATTGCACTTCCAAATCGGCCTGTGCTCACCGATTATCTGGCCGTTCAAACACACAAGGCAGAGTCTGTGAACGATGACGGGGTTGAACTGCACATCATCTTTATTAACAGAGGAATTTTTCGGGGGTCACTTCCTGCAAACAGGCTTGTTGCATTTTCCGCAACCTTGCTCAAAAACTTATTCTTTTGCTCTCAAACGCTAAATAATATCCATTCACGGAGGCCCCATTGTAACAGCGCGTTTTATAAATGAATTATGTCATTTAAAATTTAGTTCAGGTTTCCTGTAGCTATCAGCTGCAAGGTTGGCAAGCTTAGATTTTCAGTAAAATTATCCGTCTTTGTAAAACAAATGTACCAAACCACAGCAAAAATAGGATTATTAAAGTAATAAACACTTGGGTTTTTGAATTATGATTTTATAAACACATGATAGTTGTTCTCCTAAATTAAAATCAACTTTTAAAAAATGGTTTGAGAGTCAGTCAAATATGGAATTAAACTATCGTAGCCACTGAAGACGTGCGACGATAATGGAAATGCGAGCAATGTTAGTCTCAGGCAGTAAAAACCATT